CCATAAAATGAAAACACTGTTAAAAAAAAAAATCATCATCTCTTTTTTGAACACATCAGAGTTGGTGGACAGATCATGAGAGGGAGGGTGAACACAACAACATTTAATTATGTCTAATTGATTTTTACCAAAGTAATTTTTTAATGCAGACTGATAAACACTGGTCTTTATTTCAGGTGGAGAGTTATTTCAACAGCATCCCCCAGAGGGTGGCCAGTGAAACCGAGGATTTGGTTCAAAGTACGTGAGCGCATTTACTGCCTTTAATTTAATTTCAGATACTAGTCTATTGGTTATTGATTAGTAGTATTAGTATGTCCATATGGTCAATTTTACATACGATATATTTGTGTGTGTGTGTGTTAGAAAGCAAGCAGCTGCTGGGTGACATAGAAACACAGATCTCCCAGATTGCAACTGAACTCCCTGTGTCCGGTCTGATGAACATGAGGGAGACTCTGAGCAACTTACACAGAGAAATCAACAGTGTCACCGCAGAGGTCGAGAAAGCCGAGCACATCAGGTAAAACACCTGCAAACTGCAAAACGCACATGATCGGCTGATGAAAACCCACAAAATTCAATTATTGTGTGTGTGTTTTGGTCTCCAGATGGGGTGTGTTTGTTGCCCTGTGCTGTGTGGTGCTCCTGGTAGTGGTGTGTAACCTCCTGGGTCTGGTTCTGGGCCCTCTGGGTCTGACACCCTCAGCAGATCCCACGAAGCGATCCTGCACGGCCGACTGTGGCGGCACCTTCCTCATGATGTGAGTGCTGTGTTGTAGGTAAAAGGTGTTTTCACTTCCTGAGCTCTTGTTTGACCTCTGACCCCGATTTTGCTGCAGGGGTGCAGGGTTCAGCTTCCTCTTCTCCTGGCTGTTCATGATCGTGGTGGTGCTGTTGTTCCTTGTGGGTGGGAACCTTTACACGATGGTCTGTCGGCCCTGGAACGACGGACAACTGCTGAAGGTAGCGAGATACAGTACTGCACACAGACATGCACAGGTCGTACAATACAAAGATTGTGTTGAATGTCTTTGTGTTAATATTATTGCCTCTTCTCTCCATAGATCATTGATTCTTCAGATTTAACTACACAGATAACTGAGGATTTAGGATTGAAAACTAAAGTCAATTTCTCTGAAATCTACAGGTATGTAATACTAGTACATAATAGTAATAATACACAAGGTGCATGCATACACACCAGATAGAGTTTTTCCTCAAGTTACATTCATAATGCACTGAGGTTGAGTGATGTACAAAAAGTTTGACTTCATCTCACCGAATGTCTTTGTTTGCAGAGACTGTGAGGAAAACAAGACTGTGTGGACAACATTCCATTTGAATGAAATCATAAACCTTGAAGAAATCCTCAATGTATCAAAAGTGAGTTTCCTTATTGTCCTTTTCAATTGTTCAAAATAAGTTCTAACTTACAATAACTTTATTTTATACTCATCAACTGCGTGTTTTTCTGGAGAGCCACTCATCAGAACACTTCCAAGGGTCTTCAGAAATACTCCTGAAGTCGATCAGATGAGCAGTTGTTGAGAAAAATGAAGGATTTCTGGATTTATAGTTACATGTAATCATCTTCAATGTTTGTTTCTGTCCGTCACACAGTACACAGAGCAGATCAAGAAGCAGTTTGAGAACACAGACATCACTCTGTCCACCATCACTCTCCTAAGCCCTGAAGTTAAAGACCAGCTCGGTAACCTCTCCTCCAAGGTCAATGGTCTGGACTTCTCAGCCATCAAACAGCAGGTAGTTGTTATTCAGCTTACATGTATCTTTGTGCAGCTTCACTCTCATTCAATGTTTTGAACAACAGGTTCTTCCCTGACATACACCACATCCTTCCACCAAGTTTGAAATCACTCTCTCTCATTCTTAGTACAAACACAGGTCATTTTTTCCATAGTTTAAACCTCTCTCTGTCAGGTTTGAAGGGGTGTGGGGAGGAGAACGTGGTAGGTAAAAGGGAAGGGAAGGACCAAAACGCAGAAACTAAATATTGTTTAACAAAAAGTGTCTTTTATTTAAAAGGTAAAAGTAACAAAAGAAATCTTCAAGAAACAAAAATCGCACTGAATCAAAACAGGGGAGTGGAACATGGGAGGACATGAAAAAACGTACGAGCAAACATGGCGAGAGGTGACGGGACACAAGTACATGACGAGGAATGACGAGATACATGAGCAGGACGAGGAACGACGAGATACACGAACATGACAAGAATTGACGACGTACCAACAACCACATGGGATGAACACAGGAGAAGCACAGGGTGAAACATACAGGAACTCACAAGGGAACATGAGCGAACACGGGATGAACATAGTGAGGGACAAGGAGGGGAACACAGGATGGAGCACAGAGGAGAGCAGAAGGGAACATGAGCGAGGGACACAGAGAGGACATAGAACAAACTTAAAACATGAATTACAAACGTAACAAAAATGCAATTTAAACTACAACTGAAAACACTCTTTATAAAAGAGAACAAAATACCATAACGTGACAGAATACAATACCCGTGACAGAAAATACCATAATATGACAAAATACTACCATAACCGTGACACTCATGATTTCAAGCCAGTGCTCTATGTTTTCCTAACATCTTATTGTGATGCAATGCTTCTTTCTTATCTCTCTCAGATTAACAACGCTTCCAGGATCAATCTGAACACAACAGCAGATGAACTTGAGTTGGCTGCCTCTAAGGTGAATGACGAGACACGATCAAGCATAAAACATAACCCTCTTTGTAAAATTGACTCTTTCTATATTACAAATCCAAACGTTCGATCCACTAACCAGCTGTTTTACTTATTTCCAGACGGACAATGTAACTGGAGAAGAGCTGCGTAACGAGGCCAATGATCTGAGGCAGATTCAAGCCAGCATAGAAACAACCATCATCCCACAACTGGTGAGTAGGTTTCCTTATCTTAGCTCACATCTTTTCCTATCAGCCTCATTGCGGATCTCCTCTCCACGTTTAATTCAAGCATAAACATCTTCATGCTTTTTCTCCCTCAGGAAAACCTGAACTCGAGTGTGAAGAACCTTCAATCCATGACGGAGAAAATCGAAGTGAGTGCACAGACTAACACCTGGAGCTACCAACGAGCAAAAGTCGTTCTTCCACTCGTTCTTTCTGTGATTTATAATACTTTCTTCTCTCTGGTGCTTCCAGGGGACAGTGGGGGAGTTGCTGAGGAACGTGGGAGCAGCACAAGACTTCCTCAACACAAATACGACACAGATTGTAAAGACCGTGAGTAGAGGGCCACGAGTCACATGAGTTCGAGGAAAGGAAAAGAAAAAAGAAAAAGTGCTCCATGTGGTGTGCTAATGCCTGTGGTCAGTCAGTCATTTGGCCAGAGGGGGAGAAGGGGAAAGCTGCTATGGCTCAGCTACTATGAATGTGATGCTCCGACTTTAAACAACATGCCTGTTTGCTCTGCAGCCAAAGGGGAAGAATCACAATTATATTATATCTCAATAACCAGGATGACACAGTTTTAGTTTGGATATCTTGTATGATCCTAAGTTAAACAAAAGAAACTGAACACACCAACTATGCCCCTGCACCAAAATTGCCAAAACTCATAGATAGCGGTCTCTTAAATGAGCCGTTTTGCATCAAGATAAATGTATTATTCTTAGAGAAAATGTTGAAAATCTCACTCTGTAAAATAAATAAGTGGATCCAGAGCCTCATCAAAATGTAAAAACTTCTCTGACTGTTGTCTACCATGTGAACTTTGAGGTCATCTCATACCAGTGTGTTAACTGTGTGTCCACAGAGTCATGGAGAAACAGCATCAGTTTGCTACCTCACTCCTCACATGATGATGATTCTCTCCTCTCACTTACTGGCCCATTTCACCAATAAATTATAATAGAGGGTAATTTAATGTAATGGAGTGTATTTGCATTGAGTTATTTCTATTTAAGTCAAAGGTTTAAACTTAGGCATGAAATATGTTTCACAAGAGAATCGTAATTCTATTATTTAGTTATATACCGGTTATTTCAGGGCATTTACCCAGAATTCCCCATTGCTTCAACTGCTTCCTCATGACTTCCCCGCTGTTAAGCATGAGGAAAATGTGTGGAATTTACACTCTCTCTCTCTTGATCCCAGGAGAGCAGAATGTTTTTGGACTGTCAGCTGGGTTACTTCATTGCTTACGCTGACTGGGCCAACCTCACGGTAAAGTCCATTCAAATATTTGCGTGCACTTGTTAAACTATAAATTATACCGTTTGTTTTTGTGGACAAATATGAGTTGAGTTTTTTCTGCAGTGGCTGACCTGCGTCTTCTCCCTCAGATCACACAGCAGGTGGGCCGGTGTCAGCCGGTAGCCGGAGCTCTGGACTCGGTGGAGATCATCACCTGCGCGTACGCGGTGGAGTCTCTGGTGAATCATCTTCAGCTGCACATATCAACCTCTTATAAAAAAATCTCATCTGTAGTCCAGCTGATACTTCCTCATCATTGAGATGTCACACCATCACGATGCCCCGCATATGCTAGCGGCTAGTCTGACACGCCCCCTAACAAAGTACTGGGCTTTATTGGGAGCGGGGGCCTTAAAAAGACAGGAGCTAAAACCAAGTGTTTCTGACAGAGGCTGAAAAAAGCAGCTGCAGCTGTGATTGAGGAAAGTGATGTGACGTGTTTTCAATGAACCTTAACATGAGCTTGATATGTCTCCTTTAAGTTTGTTTTTTATCACCCGTGCTCTTTCTCTCTTTGTAGAATGCGTTCTGGTGCAGTCTGGGCTGGTGCATGATCTTCTTCATCCCCAGCATCATATTTTCCATCAAACTAGCCAAGTACTACAGGAGAATGATGCGCTCTGACGTCTATGAGTAAGAATCAAACACACACACAAAACAACAACAACAACACATCGACATAAACGAAATTTATGCATGGTGTATATGTGGAAGAATCCCAACTGATTCATTTGGTCTGACAGTTCTAATGTCTTTGTTTCCAGCGAACACATAGTTATGAACCACATCCCACGGGCCCATATGAAAATCACCTGAGAGGACGACCTCCTGTATAAGCAGTACAGCTTTATAAGACTTATAAGAATGTGTGGCATCTCTCGACAGACTGAAAACACTCCTGCACTGATGTGACGCATAGACGAGCCATGTCTGAGGTCTTCGGTTACCTTCCTCTTCATTTGTTTATTGTCCTCTTTGGAAAAGAAAATCCACTTGTTAAGTCATTGCAGTGCTCGTACAACACACCACACACACACACAGCATCTTTTCATTGACCTCAGGAATGCACAAGGCAAAAGGGAATTTTCAGGTACTTCAACATTTGAAGAGATTTATTTCATTTCATTGTTTTAGAAAAATAGTTTGTACGTTTTGAATGAATGTACTGAGCCTGCTGCTGTATCATGAGATTATTGATTTCAAACTGTAATGCTGCTTTTGAGTGTTGATCACATATATACACTTATACAGAGTCATTATGTTATGCTTTCAGAGAAGGCTTCACTGTGTCACTGTGCCAACAGGTTGCTGTAACATGCCGGGTTCCTTACTGCTGTTTGGTGGCTTGATTCCAATGGAAAACAATATTTAACTAAATAATAATTAAACTTGCACTGTTGGGAATCAAAGCACAATTTCTTGTGTGAATCATCAAATGAATCCAGTTATTTGTGTGACGAATAGCGAAAGCAGTCACCATTTTGTTGCTGTTTGAAACCACACAATGCAACTTAAAGTTTTTTTGTTGACTTTTCTTTGCAAATATGTTTTTGTAAATTTAGTGATTTATGTGATTTAAAAATGATGATTTTTGCACTTTTTTTTTTTTTAGCAGATTGTGTTTTTATCACTGTTACATTTCTGACAGCTGTTTTTGAAAAAACTGTGAGTAAAAAAAAAAATGTCACTGAGCATCATCTGCTCTGAGTCTGCTCTGCATTTTTCTACCTTTTGGCTGTGACATGAGTGAAATCTCTGAGATCAGTCACTGTCTGTTATCCACACATTCCATCACAGTGCTTCTCACAGTGAATATCTGTAGTCCAGTTTGTACTGCATTTACCAAAGTCTTATAGTTAACATGTCACAATAAAGAAAACACTCAGTGGATATTATTTAATTTAGTCACGATGTCCTCATCACATCTGATGCTCCTCGTGGTCGATCAGGTCGATTACAAAGATTACACAGATGCAGTTATTGCATTTTTTCAATTACTACGATAGAAAAAGATGGTGTGTCTTTGTGATCTTTATTACTGCCATGCATCTCTGTTATCGCCACATGCTTATTACATGCAGGTCAAAGTTCACCTGCAGGCATGTGACACTGTGTAGATGAATTGACATGGAGAGAGGAAACATTGAGCAGATGTAGAACAAAAATGAAAGTTTTCCCAATCACACAAGCATTGTTTGTCTTAGTGATTCGATTAAAACTAACTGAGATATCTTGTGATTTCTTTCATCGTGTGTAAACCGTTTTCAAGCAGATTTAATTTGTAAAATTGCATTTACCCAAAGCTATGAAATGTCTCACCGTCCACAGAGGTTGATGCTTTTCTGTTAGGTTCCTCTATCTGAGAGGCTCATTACTCTATGACGTTGTCCTGCAACATGATTAAACCCTCAGTTAGATGAAGTTAACTAGTTACTGTGGGTTCAGGAGAACGATGACACCTCTAGTTTACATTTACCCAGTCAACCCATCAAGTTCTATTTGTCTCATGCCTTTCCCCTCATCCCACATCCCTTCATCCTCATTTCCCTTATCCCTTACCATTCAGCCATCCATGAATGAATGGCTGTGTTTGAGTGATGTGTGAGAAAGTGTTGCATATAAATCCAGTTTAAATGCATGTGAATGGTAAAACTGTGAAGCGCTTTGATTGGTCATCACTGTAAAGACCTATATGAATACAGACCATTCACCATTTCGATTATATATTTTTCTGTTGTTGTCCTTGGTAGTGAAACCACCGCTGGTGATTAAATAACTCCTGCAAGACGCAATCAGAGACGAGCAGATGTCAGAGCAGCAGGCAGGGCCAGTCAGTTTCTGTTTAGGTGTATTATTGTGTATAGGAGGCCTGCATCTATAATTAGAACAAGTGAATCAATGGTACTACAGCACTGGCACGACAAAAACCTTGTAACACAAGAGGCCGGGAAAAGAGAAACTCAATCTGGAGGGGGG